CGTTTCTACCCAAACATGTGTAGATATAAATGAGACCCTCAACGCTACTGGAAGCAATCTATACGAGGACTCAAAGTCAGTGGGTGGTTTGTGTTTCGGAGTGCAGACACATGATCTTGGTGGAAGCAACATGGCGGATAATCAAACCCAAACTATAACCCTTTTAAATGACCTGGAGAACATTTTGTCTGATCACCAGGTCATCACAGAGGCCTCTGCTGGCTGTGGGTCTGGCCCAGGCTCTGTTCAGGAGCAGCACAATGGAATAGACTTTGACTTTGAGGAGTTTCTTAATGCTGTGCACATTCAGACCCAGACAGAAGAGAGCGAACTGGGTGTACTGGGTGGTGACACACCTCTGGGATCTCTAGACATTCAGACTCAGACTGATTTTCTCCTCATGGATGAATTGGACCAAAGTGAAGGACAGAGCCGGTCTCAAACCAGCGACCTGGAGCTATTTGACACTCAAACTCAGACTGACCTCAATTTCCTATTAAATACTGGAAGCAGCATTCCCCTGAGCAACATCTTGCGACATTCAAGCTTTTCTATAAGCACAGAGTCCTCAGATACTGAAACACAAACCGATCTCCCCTCGTTTGCTGGAGGTCCTTCCTCACAGGCCCAGGGTGAGCATGGAAGGATGCTGAACAGCACAGAAACCCAGACCATGACCAGTCAGGCGGAGGGCCTGGGCCACCTTTTCCTGACCAGCAATGAAACACAGACTGTAATGGATGACTTCCTGTCAGCAGACCTGGCATGGAACATGGAGTCACATTTCAGCTCTGTGGAAACCCAAACTTGCGAGGAGCTTTGTGCTCTCTTTCAGCACTCTGACAAACCAAACAGCTGAAAAGCCTCGCAAGGAAGTTTTCCCCAAGCCTCTTGCAGAACAGGATAATTATTTACCGCTTTCTTCTAGAGGAGTGAGTCTGTGTTGCTCTAGTAGCTATTCGACCATTCCAGAGGGGGCGTCACTTCCGGAGCATTTCCAGGTTAACATCCTGACATGGGGTTTCTGCACAGTCTGGAAAAATTACAGGATCTTATTTGGCCATTTTGCAGGTCTGGAGAAGTATGACAGGAAGAACACAAAGGATGGGCAATGTTTGATCTTTTTCTCTTTTTTTTCCTGCCTTTATTTTCTCATTTTTAATTTTCAAAAGGACATAAATCAAATTATGTTTCATGAACGCTGTGGCTTTTGCATTTGTTTGTTTTTAAATGAATTTCTTTATCCTTGATTTACCACAGAAGAGCTTGATGTACTATTCTAGCCATCTAGCATTCAGAAGTCAAAAAGGAGTCATTTATCAGATATAAGAAAACTTTCAATTCATGTTTTAATACAACAACAAAAAAATTCACATAGAATCCAGTTTCAACACTGTTTCAGGATGTGTGGAACCTATATTTTCTATAAGAAAATAAGATCTTCAAGGTTGATCTTTTTGTGTTCAAATGTCCAGAATACTATAAAAAGTAGAACTCTGGAAATTTTATTCTGGAAAAGCATGAAATTCCAAAATGAAGAATATGTAGGAACCCTGCTGATAGCTTTGGTGCACTTTATTAGATCAGTGGGCGTGATTTATTAGCTCCTGTGACAGTTTACATATTTATTCGCACACACGTTGTATGTGTTTTGTCTGACCCGTATATTTCCACCGCGAGTGGTTTGTGACGTCAAGTCTTTTACAGTTTAGTTTTTAAATTACCAGGTGTTAAAGCTTCTTGAACTCCTTTCATCTCAGCAGTGTAGGATGCAACAATAAACATTGTTTACATTTAAAAAAGCGCATGAAACCTTTCCAAGGTTGGCCACACAACACGGCTGTCTTATCTGCACTTGTGCATTTGACCGGCTGCCCTCCTTGAAGTTACTGTCGGCCTAAGGAAGGCTGCACGCTCCGCTTTTCATGCTCTAACATTTGAAGTTGATGAACAACACGAGCAAGGTCTTACGTTAATTTTCCTCTTAAACACTCGGCTCGCCTTGACACAACCGATCTTTGCTCCAAGCAGCTAAAATAAATTCAAAATATACAAGTATGCATTCATCTGTGGCACAAGTTTTAAAAAGTAATTGTTGAACAGTAGTGAGTTTTTGCACACTTCTTTTTTTTTTATTTAAATGTGATTGTGGTGTTTAATATTGTGTGAAAACTAAAACTTTATTTTTTGTTGCTTGTAGGTAATCACTCTGAGTCATTTAATGGGCTTGGCTGTCATTGTCTTTGACTTATTCATTAGCTGGTGTAAGTTTATACAGTAGCAGCACTGTGAGCTGAAGCAATCCTGTATCGTTACTGTGCAGTAAAAAGGTGAGTCAGACCTAGGATTAGCACTGTTACTGTATGTTTACCACTCGATAGACTGAAAGTAATATCCTTGAGATAACTTTTTAATTCTGTCTTGTTCCAAAGTGTCAAAATTTAATTTCTTTTTCTTTTTTTAATACTATTGAACTTTTTACCTCACAGCAGAATAGATTATGTTTTAAAAGAGAACATAACCTTACAGGCCTTTTTTTGTTTTGTTTTGTCTGTGCCTTAATTCTGGTATTAACTTTGGTTTTGTTTTATAATTTGCTGCTTTTACAGAAAACACAGATTACAAGCATATTAATAGCATCCATTTGTCCCTACATTGCGTGTGTAATCAATTCAGGTAGAATGTTATCAACATGGTTGCATGATGTACCAAAATATTTCTGGTTTGATTTGATCATTTTGTCGTGTGAAATGATTGCTGTTCAGTATATAATTTCAATAAGATAAGTTTCCATCTTATTATTTAATGGGTAACTTGTTTTGTTGTTACATTTGAAAAACAATTGGAAACAGAAGAATGTATAGAAAATAGCACAGTGTCTAAGTGTACCGTACTCATTTAAATTTTTTGCACAACATCCTAAATGATGATGGATATTTCAATGTCTTAAGTTTCTTTTTTTTCTTTTTTTTTTGTCACATTGTCAATTTGACTATTTATTGTTTTGAGCTCTTGACTTCTAGTTTGTGGTTTTTGAATTCAGAAAAACACAGCATTGTTGTTTCTAGCTTTAATGGAACAGACAAATGCCTTCCTTTAGAAAGAAAATGTTCGAACTTTGTTGGTCTTAATTGTCAGCAACAGTATTTTCTCCCTGTGAAAGGAGTGCATGCACAATTTATGTTTAGAGGAATTCAGCTTCAGTTGCCTCAATGCGTAGTTATCAGTTGCCTTGATTATTTGTTGAAGCTACTCTTCAATTGTCAATAAATATTGGAAAAAAATTGTGCTATCTTTATTACAAAAGTTTTAAAAAAGACATAAAAAGCTTTGCGAGAGCTGCATGTTAAAGTAAAGTTGACAGATGCACAATGGAAACCATACAAACAAATGATTTAACAGGGTTGTTCTTTGCAAAAAATTTTAATTACTGAAACTAATATAGTCTAGAATTGAATATGCACACCATGCTGTGTATATTCAATTCCAGACTATTAGGTATTGCAGCTCTAGGTGAAACTCAACCTTTAAAAATCAGATTTATTATGTCAGTAACTCAATTCAAAAAGTCAAACTTGCAGTTATATTTCACACACTGATATTTTTTTCAGGGTTGCTGCTCATTTTTATAATTTGGCTTGCATCTGACAAATCTCAGAAAATCAGAACATTATATGATTCATTCATCATATGTAGAAATGCTTTACACACATTGATGACTTGACAGTTGACTAGATGTTTATTGCTCTGCATTAACTCCTCTTTTAAGATAAATGTTATTTATTTCCATTCTATTTGGAAATCAAAGCCCCAGAGTCATGCTTTCCAACATGTGGGCACTTGTGCTTAAAAAATCCTTCTTTATTGATTTTGTGTCATACTCAATTTCTTTCTAGAAAACTACATTTTGGGTAGTGGATATGCATGAATTTTACTATTTGGATTGAATTGTTGAAATAAAACTACAAATGGCATCACCTGAGTTATTGAAATACACAAAAAAAAATCGAAAGCTAATTTTCTATACCAGTACAATCAAAATATTTTTGATAAAATTTAACCAAATGTTCATACTGATTTGTACCAACTGACATTAAGAGATAGTAGTCATGTTTGATTTTCAATTTGTTTTACAAAAAGTGTTTTAATGCTCATTAAAACAAAATTATATTCGCCTATCAAAGAACAGCCTTTCGGTTGGCAGGGTGTCCCTCAAAAGGAAATTTTCTTTGTATTTTCAAACATAACTTCAGATGCGATGGAAGCATTTTGTATTTATTTTGTATTATAAAGGTATTTTTCAAATATTTCATTTTCATGATGCCTACGTTGACTACAACTGTACCATGTCTGGTACTGGTAATGTTCCAGAATTTGGAAAGTATCTTAAGCCAGTCGCAGTTGAACAGTTGTCATTGACAGCTCTCAGAGGTTAATTTAAACCATTTTGTTCCTGTTGGTTATTTCTTGCAGTTGATGGTAGGATATGGAAAGCAGAAAATGTATTGCTTTCCTTCTACAGCTTGCCATAGCTTCACCAGTTGTCTAAATATTAATGGTGCTAGATGGTTCTGAAGGAACCAAATGTGGATGACCCATTCAATCCGAAAACATTTTTATAATTGTTGATCTAACTTGCTAGTCCTGCAAAAGACTGCAAATGTGAGAATTATTCTATGCCTTTAAAATTGCAAACATTCAATGTAGTGCATCATATTTCCTCAGTGTGCTTAAATATATTTGCTATAATTAACCTTAATTCCCTCTGCAGCTCATCTTCAACTCTCAACACAATTTAAAATGGCATTATATTGCACTGCACTGGGACAGCAGATACTGTGCTCTGCTCATCAGACACATTTGTGGTTTCAGATTGCTTTTAACGCCTAATAGGCATGGAATATAATTGCTGTATACATAAAATGTATTATAACCAACAGAAACAGTCTATGGAACCATCAGAAGCATTGAAAAAGGACTGTCAGTGTACAACAAAACGCTTAAACTTTCCATGCATTTATTTGATTGAATTTGACCATCAGTGAGGAGACATTTGCTTCAAAAGCCTCATGTAACACACAAAGTTCTGATTCTTAGATGAGCAGACTCTTGGTGGCTACCAGGGGATGGATGCCTCGTGGCATGTTGTTCCCCAGAGAGAACGCTGTGGGATGCAATGTGTCCATTTTGGGAGATACGGTTGATTTCCTCCTGCTCGTAACAGAACCACAACCATTGGGGAACAAATTGGGGCTTTGCGCCTGGCTGTCAGTAGAGGCTGGGGAGGAAAGGGGACGCTCTAACTTAGCCGTAGCATCCAGTCCTGTCTGAGTTGCTTTGATCCCCTTCTTAAGCCTGCTAACGGTTTTTACGTCTGCCATCTTCTTGCCTTTGTTGTCCTTCTGGAGTGAATTGATAGGAGGCAAAAATTTAAAGTTTTTGATGGGGACCGTTGTGACATCATGCCTGATGGTGTGCTTCTGAACTTTCAGGGCTCGGCTCTCTACAGGAGAAGATTGTGAGGCTTGGCGAAGCACTGGACTTGTCTCTTGTGCCACCCTTTTCTTCTCCGAGGAACCTGGCTTCTGAGTGGGACTGTGGCAAGGTGATGTTGCTTGATCTTGAGATCCCGGTTGATGGCTCAGGGATGCAGCTTCCTTTACGTTAGGCTGGCCTGCATTTGGCTTGCAGTGCTGCTCCATCAGGCTGGCTGTGCTGCCTACTTTAGGGGGCGTTCGGTTGAACCCCGAAGTGGCCAGGCTTTCAGACTCCTTGTGCTTTGCTGTCTCCTTCTGACTCATCATCACGCAGCACAAAGGAGAGACTCTGCCCCAACCGTGGACCTGTTGTAAAACCAGATTTGAAATAAAACTTAGCATTATGTCTAGACATGAAACCCATAAAATAAATTACTCTTGAGGCTAACGAAGAGAAATGATGTATGAAACTTTTCAAAGCATGAGTGTTGCCAAATGAAGGTGTTAGTAGTGTAAATACATTTTGGTCATTTTAATAATTTCCTGTAACCCTTTATCCCCCCTCCTATTTAAATAATAACTTATAGTTAAAGTATAAATATTCATATCTTTCAAAGATGCAGAAATATATTTGTCTTTGATCTAATAATGCAAGCAATGGACAATTACCGTTTACATATTTATCTAAAATGCTTTGAGGAAGACATTATAATTGAATATGTATGATAAAAATATAATTAATGCATATACATATGAATACATATAGATATATCTATATATCTATATTTCTATTTCTATTGAAATATATATTTATATATATATATATGTTACTCATGTTATCATTATGTGATGGTTTGAAGCATTTAGATGTGACAAGCAGAAGGAAAGGGGACATGCATTTCCACAGTCCTGTATAAGAATAAAAACTGACACTCAGTCAGTCAGTCTGTCAGTAGTCTGTCAGTTGGTACTAAAATGAGTTCATTTTACTGCAGAAGTAAAATGAAATCAATAAGAGAAACGGGGGAAAGGGCGTGAAGATGACTTACAGCATGTTCCCAACCGGGGTAACAATGCCACTCATGCGGTTCCAGATCTCTCATGAAGCTCTGCTCACTAATATCCAGAAGGGCATCAACATGTTTCCTCTCTGGCATCTCCAAAAGCTTTGACTCCAGGTCTTCTGCGTCTATCGCCGCCTTGTCACATTTTGGCCGCTCCTCGACGTCATCGTTAACTTGTGGTGCATCTTGGGAGTTGATATAAGATAATGTGAAATATGCATCGCGCCGTTTCGGTTAACAGGAGATGAAAATCCGAAACCTTTACCGACCGTGACTCACCAAAACCACTCACACTGACTCCTTTTAACATTTTGAGTGCGTCAGTTCACTAACCTCTCAGAACAGCATGCCGTTACTGGTTGTGTTTACTCCTGAACTGCGGCGGAGGAAGTTGTGAACGCCTTCAGAGAGCGGCGGTGTCGTCGTCATGGTAACGGGGACGGCGTGACGTCGGCAGCGTGGAAGGGCAGCAGTAACCTCAGCAGCCAGAATGTATAATAATAATAATAATAATAATAATAATAATAATAATAATAATAATAATAATAATAATAATAATAATAATAATAATAATTCCTGCACCGACAGCGTGTGAGTGTGAATGTGAAGGCTGATCTCACTGTTCATTTAAAACACTCATTTTATGAGTTCGGATTTACGCATGCGCCGGAAACTGTCGATTAGAGCAGAAAGCTCCTTAGATGTGAATGATGTTTTTTTTTTTTTTTTTTTTTTAACTGCATGCATGGGTTTGGGCGGAGCTGCACTTTGTAACGTGGATGTGAAAAAACGGGGAAGTTAGCAGGTTTCATTGCTTCAGAAGGAGGAAACCATTTTTGGTCGGTTGATACGTGAACTTCTGCACGTAGGCTGTTACGTACGTCAGTAACGCTCAATTCATGCAAGGTTGGCTCTGGGAGGAACGCCAGCTTACTTCTTTGAAATGCAAGCGACTGAGACTGACGATTTATCTCACGGGCTCTTCCGCTGACTCTTTCTCTCGTTTTCCCGCTGAGCAGAGCGAGTCGCGGTGTCCGCAGCTGCAGTCCGGACTCTCGGCTGCTGGAACCGCAATCGCGCGGTTAATTGGTCCAAAGCCGCGCGGTGTCAGCATCTGACGCAACAGGAGCGCCTATCCGCGAGGGGCACACTGACACCTGAGCGCTTTATGTCTTGACTCGCCGGGTTGCACTTCATCACGACCGACTCGGTTCTGCAGTGCAGGTCGCCGTGGCGCTGAAGCAAAGCCCCAGTGTTTGCGTGCCATCCGCGGCCATGCTGCCTCCGAAGAACTGCCTCCCGAGGAACTACAGCTGCATCGCGGGGCTCTTCGGAAGCCTGACCGCGGCCAACCCGAGACTGGAGGATGGAGAGGAGTGTGATGTGATGAACGGCTCGTGTGAACCCATGGAGAACTCGGTGGTGGACGAGAGGCCACGGGGCAGGGAGATTTTCCTCAAGACCCCGCAGAGCCCGAATCTCCGCCGCAGGTGCAAATCGCTCCCTACGCCTATGGAGAGAGCAAAGTTGGAGATCGCACGCAGTAGAAGTCCGACCAGTCAGAAAAAGGTCCGCTTCGCTGACTCCCTTGGCTTGGAGCTCATAACTGTGAAGCACTTCGACGATGCGGACGATCCGGAGGTGCCGGAGCGCATTTTGGCGAAGCTGCCCAAGGCGACGCTCCATCACCTGGACACAAAGTTCCCTCGGGCTCCTGCGCACTCTGTGTTCATGGAGCTGCAGTTCATAAACCCAGGCACGCTACCCGACTTCGAGCAGAAGGTCAGAGAGGTGAAGGTGCTGCTGGAGACGGTGCAAACGGACGACTTCACCCTCTCCGGCTTTGTGCGCGTCTTGAATCTGGCCTTTGAGAAAAGCGTCTCTTTGCGCTATTCCCTAAACAACTGGATAACGTTCATGGACAGCTTGGCCACCTATGTGCCAGACTCGAGCGACGGCGTCACTGACAAGTTCAGCTTCAAGATCGTCATGCCCACCTACTTAGATAACGGTGGCACCTTGCAGTTCGCCATTAAATACTGTGTCGGCGGACATGAATTCTGGGACAACAACAACGGGAACAACTACAAGGTGCGTCGCCATCGGCTAAAGATGTCGCCACCTCGGGAGTGGGAGAATGGTTGGGTCCACTTTATCTGAGTGACGGGCTCTGATTTTACGCACTCGGTTAGTGCGTTTTCTGCGCGTAACGCTCTCCGGATAGACCTTAACGTGCGACTGTAGCCTGTTAAATGTTTGGATTCATTTCTTCTCAGTCACTAACATGCTGTGACAGAAAAATATTGACCCATGCTATTTCCAAACAGCTGCCCTGTTGTGATAATACTACATTGACTGGATGAGCCTGACAGGGTCCCAGCAGGAGGGGCGGGGATGCGGTCTGATATATAGCCTATATATATATATATTTTTTTTTTTCTTTTTTTTGCCTTGATGTTAGGGCTCGCTGAACTTGGCGCCCTTTGGGTGGTGGGGAGGGGGCATGCTCAAATGATGTAATATGCCACGGAAAACGCCATCTTCAGGCTTTACTGCACACGTCAGGAGAAGTTGTAACATTTAGCTGCTTCGATTTGGCAATTTTTTGTTTAGCGCGCTTATAGATGTGACGGTAAACAGGAAGCCTTACTGCATAGCTATCTGGGTCCGGAGTCCCACAGTGATCTCCTGCAGTATTTGGAGGAAAACACGCAGACCTCTGCTGAAACAGAGGACGAAATCTAAATTAAATAATTCATCATAGATTATATAAACATCAGAGATTATATGAAAAAGATATTTTATGTACTAAATAATAATTTCCTATGAGATTCTATCAAGAATGCCTTATTCTATTTGAAATATAGTTTTATTTTTGTGCAATATTATCACCGTTTGGACAAAACTAACTACTAAATAGTTTTCCATTGATGTATCCAGCCAGCATTTGTGTTTGGTCGCCATGTGAATCTTGCTGTGGCTGGTTTGGAAACGAAAGACTTTAAAGTTTTATTTGTGACTCTTGGCTGTGTAGCTCAAAAGATAAGAATACTAGGTCTACTGTTTTTTTTTTTTAATATGACCTAGATATTGTTAGCAGATTTAATCACAATTCTTATAATAGACCTTTTTTTTTTACCCCAGATAGTAAATGGTACATTTATTGCCCAAACCTAGTTTTAAGTGGACCCTTGTGTATAATTGGCTTCATGTCTGGAACCGACATGAGTGAACTACTGACAAACTTGTTGTGCAAAACCAGATGAGAATCATGAAGGTATTACCTGGATTTTTAATGAATATTAAGAAAATTATTTCAAATTTAGAAATACATCTAGGACCAGCTGTAGACAATCCCATTCGGGACCCATTATTCAGCACAGGTCCTTCTTGAATGTGCTCCACATGTGAATGCTGGCTGGGTAGGGGTGATGTAGTTGGGTTGTAATTTGCCTTCGTGTTATTTTAATATGTAGCATTAATCCGTTATTATTTTCAGAAAACAAAACAGTGCAATTCTTTTAACCCTGTATGATTAGGGTTGTGTTTATACACAATAGGAACCACTTCTTCTTACCTGCTGTCTTGAAAATGTTTCTTTCCACCCACTGCACTGCTCCAACATGGTTGTGCTTCCATTAAGGAAAACATATGCAGAAGCTGTATGAGCAGTTAAGTGTACCTCACTTTATTTATGTACTTCCTCCTCTTCAGGTCAGTGGTGGTGATAGAACAGATGATATTTATAGCAATTATTTTTACATTCAAACAAAAGCGTATTATTGTATATTCACAGATGGAAATATTTTAGATTCTTGATTGCACTGTTAGCAATGTTTCCACATAGCAGTTTTGTCTGTAGACGAAGTAGCTACTACAGATGACTGCTTTAAACAGCTTCTGCTGCTGTAAAGGTACTCGACAGTCATCACTTTGCAAGGACCTTGTCCTTTTGCACTTCACAGGAATGACCAAACAATGTCAGCCATTATTTATTTCTGCAGCCCGTCTCACTGCTTGTTTTTCATGCTGTCGTCACGGATTCATCTGATTTATGCCATGTTTTTTCACGTACATTGTTCCTACAGATATATATTTTTATTGAATTCTTTTTAACTTGGTCCCCTGTGCAATGTATGCACTCAGTGATTATGGTGAACAAAAGCTTGCTCTTTCCTCTGGAATAATGATGCTTGAAACAACAGGAAGCAGAGGAGGAGGAACACTCAGCGTGCTTTTAATTCCAGTCCTCTGAGTGTAGTCTGAACATCACCTTGGCCTTTATTTACATCCCCAGGGCCTCAGAGGAAAGTTTTCCACTAGAAGAGCCCGGAATGTGGATGAAGGCTATTCCTGTAACCACTTAGCTTGGGGTTTGGAGCTGTTTCCACTGTGAATCCATTGGTGGTGTTGGTCTTCAACTTTGACACATGTCAGCACCCAAAGACTGAGGCTAATAATTGGCTCTGATGATGTGTGAGGGAGATTCAGTGACATTTGCCACCACACATCTTTTTTATGTACATAGCTTCAAATTACTGTGGATAGAAAAGGTCTAGTCATGCCGTGTTTCATGCTGAATGTCTTCCTGTTGGTGTTCTGTGTATTTTTGAAGCATTTTCAATCCTTATTGGTGCAAATGGTTCAGTCATCCGATGCTGCAAAATTATAGGAAGTTCTCTGAGTCAATTAACACACAAGTCTAATTGTAGAGATGTAACATATTATTATGTTTAGTCTTGCAGTAATTGTGGATGTTGGTTGGATCCGCTTGAAAAAAGGCATGTTCGCTTTGTTTCGATGCAAACTGCTCACTATGTGAGCGATTCGTATCACGATCGATGGGGGACGCAAGTGAGGAAAGATTGTAGACTTTATGAACTCTGGACAGCGACTAGGGACATGTAAAGTCTGAATAGAAAATGTAAGACGCACTTTGGTGCTTGATAGCTTTTTGCATGAATGACTAATGATTGTAGCTAACACTGAGCAGTCAGAGCAGGTCTTTGCAGTTAGAGGAGGAAAAGGGATGCATATTTGTCTCTGAAAGTTTCTCCTTGGAAATCTTTTCCAGCTTTTAGCACATTGTGCTGCTCTTGTGTCTCAGTCTGTCTAATGTATTGTAACTTAATGACACTGGTATTTTTCTTTTATTTATCTTCTTTTATTTGCATCTTTTCAGAGCTATGTGTTTTAACATCTACACTGTGAGTTTCGTGTCCTTTATTCTGTGAAAGCTCTTCATATTTGCACGTTAAGCAGAAATGTACTGTCATGTTTGTAATGTAATTCCATACTTTGTTAAATTGATGCTTAATAAAAGCTTTTGTGATGGAAAGCAATCTTTTCTGTTTCTTGAGCTCACCTAACTAGAAGTGTTAAAGTATTTCTTGGTTTTTCTAAGTGACTGTATTCAAGTAGTTTCTGTAGTAGATATCTACCATTGGCCACCATTCTTGAAGCAGATCTCTGTAGCGGGTTTCAGCACGACGCCATTATGAACCTGCCGAAGGACATGTCCTTGAATTCATTTCGGCTCTGACACCGCTCCTCTGTTTACAGACGGGGTGCTTGAAACAGGAGAAAGTGCAGGAGAAGGTGCCATAAAATGTGAGACATTTAATAAAGAAAAAAAAACAAATGTCTCTTGTGTGATAAAGAATAATAGAACAGTTATTTTACCTACAGAGAATTAAGGAAGGTGCATTTGCTTTTTCTTTAGTTATTTTAACATTTATAAAGGTTACGTTGACAGAAGATAACGCCTCTATTTATGAAATGTAGAAGTACACTGTCAACATTTATTTCTTGCTACCTGTTCATGTGCACACACAAAAATCAACAGCATTTGTAAGGAAATTTTGATATATTTGAATTCTTCGTATGCAGATTTTTTCTTTACAGCCACACAAAGCTTATCACGTCACAGTAAAGACAGGACTCACTGTCTTTACCTTAAAGGACACATGACATATGGATGGATGGGGTTCAAAGCGCTGGCCCTGCAGTTGAAAAACTACTGCTGATCCATTGAAAACACAACCATATCTAACATGAAGCATCCACACATTTTATTCTGACATCCATCTTTTTTTTTAATCTGTTCTTGCAGTAACATATTTAAAAATCCTCTATTTTTGCAGACTAGGCCAGTTACTTAAAATATGCTAATTATACAAACTGGAATACGAGTGTCTCTCAACATTAATGAAAAAATAATGACTTTCAAAATTTTGGTCAGAGAGTGCAACCCACATATTGTTTCATGACACAAAGGTTGGTATATTTCAAGTGTTTATTTGTGTTAGTTGTCATCATTATGGATTTCGGATCATAAAATTCTAAATTAAAGCTTCTCTTTAAATTAAAGACTGCTAACAGCTGACACACTGCCACTAGAGGCCATTACAAAAGAAAATGAGTGCAGTGTCCAAGTGCACTGATGGAGAGAAAAATGTTTTGCAGGAAAAAAGTACAAATAATAAAGACTTGAGAAAATAATATAGCAAACTCCATTCAGGAGTTTCAGGAAGACTTATAAGTCACATAACTGTGTCATAGGCTAATTGCCTCTGTATCATGTTTTTCCAATGAAATAATAATGTACAAAGAGCCACTAAATATTGAGAGCATATACTGTGCTGTACATGAACAGTATTTTCATTAGGCCCACATTTCTAAAGGGAAAAATCCTTTTGGAAGGATTGTAAAAAACATCAGAGATAATAATTGAAGTGAACGAAAACAAACAAAAAAAAAATGTGCAAACATATATGCATGTAAGAAGTAAATGCTTAACTTTTTGGATTAATTTACAAAAAAATAAATAAATAAATTACTTTTGGGCTATATTTTATGTCTTCTTAAGATGCAGCTGTGTACTCTCCAGAGTTAATCATCCAGCAAGTAAAATAGCAAACACCTTTTACAAAAAGGAAATTTAATTAATTTAATTAGTTTGAGTTGGCCTTGTTGAGCACCTGTAAAATAAACCAAGAATAATTGCATTACTGTTTGAGTTTGTGTAACAGATTAAGTGTGTGTAGCGCCTGGGTTTCTGGAGTCATATTTAGAACATGTTGGTTAACATGTTAATCTGTTTGTCAACCAGCAGAGTGTCGTCACTGAGCGGTCTTGGCTCACAGTCAAAGGAAGCTGAGTGACGGCAGCTTCCTGACAGCTCTGCGTAGCAGCAGCTTAATCCTTTCACCAACCAGTGAATGTGGATCCATATGGCCAGTCAATGAAAACCTGCTGTGAAGCTAATTTGATTCTATGATTGGACCTACTCAGCAGCTTGCTCAATCAATCTTAAGATTCCCCAGGATAGGATGTAGATCCATTCAGTTCCACTGAGAAATGAAGCAGGAAATTAAGACATGCGCAGCTAGTTTTCATAACGATGGGGCTCAGTTATCTTTGTCTTTGATGAATTTATCTCTTGAGGATGTGTTGGATTTGCCACCATCAGCAAATCTTTTCACAGCAAGCGTAGGCTTTTCTTTTTTGTAATAAATTAAATCCACATTTCAGAGCTAACTTTTTTCATTTACTCAGGTCATATTTGTCTGATGTTATTTGATAAACTGAAAGATTTATACACGACAAAATTACTGCGCATTGAGGCTTCAGTGTCTGCCTGCTCCGAGGACATGTTGACTTGTATCCAGGATAAAACCTCCAAATTTGGACAATTATTGAAAAAGTTGAAAATTCTCAAGCCACAGCTTGAGACCAACCAAATGAGTACAATCAAATCAACAACAATATGTACGGCTTTCTGTGCAGCCAGCTGTGATAATCAGACAACATTGTCATGAAGTGCAACAACCAACAGCTGCTTACATAACTCCTTTGTTCATGTGATGACGACTCGCTCTTCACTTCCCCCTCAGGCCTCGGCAATATGAGGCTGCAACAACAGACCCTGGGAAGCCTTTTCAGACCAGTGCTGCTTCTCTCACCTCACCTGCAGCGTCCTTCACCTCCAATAAGAGGAAGCCACTCCAGAGCACTCAAATAAGGTTCTGCAGTTTGAATTTTAATCCTTTATATGAGGTGTTCATAAAGATAAAAAGAAAAATGTATCCAAAGATGCTGATTCAGAGGCAGCTGCAGCTATATAGGGTCAGCCATAACCTGGTCGAAGTGAGCACTAGATCTGAATAATTCATTTGCTAAATGATCTTCTACTGCTGTGGAAAATTCATTATGTTGTTTTGAGCTCACCGTGTTGTCTTCCCTAAAACCATGCATCTTCATGCCATAACATTCACTTAGACACTCTCACAAAGAGGGAAAGACAAGACAGGACAGGAGTCTGACTCTATCTTCTTCAACCTTTCCCAACCTCCCTCTCTACTGAGCCCACTTTTACTCATCTGTCTAACTATTTGATCACAAATAAAATGTAATGTGAACAATCCACACCTCTTAAGTTGGGACGTATATGTAAGTTATGCTTTACATATATATTGAATCATTGTTTTCCATGAAACAATAAAGTCAAGCATGCATGTAAATCAAATACATATTGTAAAAGGAGTAGCTTAGCTCCTAAATCCCCAACTATGCTTTTAGACATGTATAATTATTCATGAGGACATCATGAGATATTAATAGAGATGGCAGCTGTAGTTTTGTGACAGGTAGTTGTTTGTGACAAAGGCAGTTCTGGTATTCACTTTGAGAGTTTCTTTTTTTTTTTAATGCACTGTTTAACGTGGAATTTATTTGCCTTCAAGCCAACAGGTCCAACAGAGCATGAACCTCTGTTGGACTGGAGGTTCATGCTTTTGCCATGAATCTCCAGTCCAACAGAACTCACTTTATTCCTGCAGTGATGTTTGGATTTTTGGTTAAAAAAAGAACTCAGTAAATAATGTTTTGTTGCTTTATTTACATCCTCCACAATCTGTGGAAAGTGTCTCAAAGGATGAATCAATTAACTTAAGAAGGTTTGTTTATGTGTGAGTGCCAGAGCTTGTTTCACCACAAACCATATTTGGATGTGTTTCAGGAAAATGAGAGGGAAATGCTTCTGAAGAAATACTTTCTCAGCAAAACAATGGCCCTTAGCCACTTCTGCATGCCACATTTCAGACTGATATATTAAGGGCTGATGTAAGGTTGAGCAGAATTTGATTTGGAGTCCCTTTTGATGTCAGGAACATCAAAACAAATATAAAAAAAATATTTATCTACTGAGGGAATTTATATTAAAGCATGTTTGGGAGGCCCCATGATAGTTTGGGGGCCCTAAGTAGTGGCTCACTTTGCTTAGAACTTGGACTGGGTTTGTGTATATTCATATGATAAAATGATCTGTTTAAGCTAGAAAATAATCAGATCAATATATATGTACACAATGGCCAAACTAGTCTCTTCTTTAAACTTTTGTTTTTCTTGTTCTTTGGTGTTCTGTTTTTTCTGCCTTTTTCCTCCAGTTTTGTATTGCTTTGGACCTCAGTGATCATGTTTGATTTTGATTTTCTAAATTTACATTATGTTGTACTCTCCATAGTACAACATAATTACCTTTTGTTTATTGTCCACCTGCTTGTTGTAAATAGGCATATTTATTTGCTTAGTTTTTATTTTAGAATTTTATACCCAATCTTTTACAGCTTTTTTAAGGAGTAGTTCTAGTACTGCTTACCTTTGTAACTGTTACTTTCTTTTCCAGTATGATCAAGTCTGCTGTTCCATTAAGTTGATGAGTGTGACTACTGCAGCCACAGTAGATTTTTGCACAGTCAAGAGCAAATAATTCTGGGCCAGAGGGACGCACATAAATTATCCACTGATCCTGACAATTTTCAAGAGCAAACCAGCGATAAGCGAAACGACAAACTGAGAGAATCAGGAATAGACAGAAATAAACAGGCAGGAGGCAGATTAGAGTGAAGGGCCGTACGGAGGACCCATGTGTTTGAGCTGTACTTAACGGACTATTTATTATCAGTCCCAAGCTGACAGGCCTTTCACTGCCACTCAGAAAATGCCATCAACTGGAGCTGACTCTATCTTCTTCTGCTGAGGTATGCAAAAAGGATTTCCTTTTCAAGTAAAATGTGATTATTGAAAATATTTACTATATCTACTTGTAATGAATATGATGAAATAATAATTTTGTTCACATGTCACATACCTTGGTGTTCTTGGAAACACCAACCCAAGAACCCTACTTGGACTAACGCTGTTTCAACTCGGACTGGGACTGATTTGATATTCTTTATCTTCTGCAGTTTGGAGCTTCAAGTATGACAATATTTAAGTAACTCCAGTAACTATAGATCAGTTTTGTATTCAGCTGTAGACACCAATCTACATCTACTA